TTGCTCCATAGAGTTTTCAAGGTTGTGACCTTCAGAAGCAGATCACCAGGCCTGTCTTCTAAAGTGTCTGTGGGTGGTTTCAAACTGCCAACCTTTCAGCTAGTAGTGGAGCACTTAACTGTTTGTGCTACCCAGGGACTCTCGTTTCATATATATAGTACACGTATTTCTTCCATGTCATTAAAGATGTAATTTCTTAGATCTATACTTCAAAGACATCATTTTTTAAAACATCCGTTCAAGATTCCATCATATGAATGTACCATGATATAATCACTGTCCTAATAGTAGGCATTTAGGTTGTTTATAACTTTTTTACTATTATTATAAATAATGCCACAGTGAATAGTACTAGACATAAATCTTTGAATTTCTAAACTTAGAGACCCTATTAAAAATAATTTTCAGAAAAAGTATTCAGAAAGCACTGAAATATCAGCAAGTAGATACGGCCCAATAATGCTGCTAGATTCTGAATTTAAGTAAAATAAAAAGAAATATACATGAAATGAAAATTACAAAGCATAACTCAATTTAAACTTAATCAACAGTTTCTTCAGTGAATCACTCCTCCTTTCTGGAATCCTCACTACCAATATCAACATGCTGTACAAGGAATGGATCACCCATCAGTAATCTATACTATGTGAAGTGTGAAAATACCCGGCACAAACTGAAAAATGTGGACTTTTAAAGGATTTATAAGACTAAAATCTATTTTCACATAATTAAAAATTACTTCAAACCAGGATGGCCATAAACACTGTTCCATCAAGCATGAAGTAATGTAAATTCTGTGCTATTTAAAACAACAACAAAAGTGTTAAACATGGGTTTCCTGATAGTCTACTAAAGAGAACAGAAACATACATGGGATATAAAAAGTAGAACTTAGTTTTAACCATTTCCAAAAAAGCAACAGAGCTAACAGAAAAAATCATGATACTATTACTAAATATAAAAAGCATACTAAGAAATAAAAAGAAGCAGTAACCCTTATTAAAAGTTGATCCTCTGAGGTCCCGAATAAGTAAAGCATTACTCAAGAACAACTAAGTGGGAGGCCTCACACTACCTGATTTTAAAACCTATTATACCGCCACAGTAGTCAAAACAGCCTGGTACTGGTACAACAACAGATACATAGACCAATGGAACAAAATTGAGAATCCAGACATTACTTCATCCACCTATGAGCAGCTGATATTTAACAAAGGCCCAAAGTCCGTTAATTGGGGAAAAGACAGTCTCTTTAACAAATGGTGCTGGCATAACTGGATATCTATCTATTTGCAAAAAACTTAAACAAGACCCATACCTCACACCATGTACAAACACTAACTCAAAATGGATCAGACTTAAATATAAAATCGAAAACGATAAAGATCATGGGAAATAAAATAGGGACAACGCTAGGAGCCCTAATACATGGCATAAACACAATATGAACCATAAGTAACGATGCACAAGCACCAGAAGAGAGACTAGATAACTGGAAGCTCTGAAAAACCAAACACTTATTCTTATTGTCATGGACTGAATTATGTCCCCCCAAAAACGTGTGTATCAATTTAGCTGGGCCATGATTCCCAGTATTGTGTGATTTTCCCATGTGTTGTAAATCCTGCCTCTGTGATGTTAATGAGGGAGGATGGGCGGCAGTTGTGTTAAGTGAGGCAGCACTCAATGTACAAGATTGGACTGTGTCCTGAGGCAATCTTCTGAGATATGAAAGACAGAAGTGAGCACAGAGACAGGGGGACCTCACACCACCAAGAAAACAGTGCCAGGAGCAGAGCGTATCCTTTGGACATGGGGTCCCTGCGCAGAGAAGCTCCTAGTCTGGGGGAACACTGATGGAAGGCCAACAGAGAGACAAAGCCTTCCTCTGGAGCTGACACCCTGAATTTGGACTTTTAGCCTACTTTACTGTAAGAAAATAAACTTCTCTTTGTTAAAACCATCCAACTGTGGTATTTCTGTTAGAGCAACACCAGATGACTAAGACACTCATCAAAAGACTTCACCAAAAGAGTCAAAAGACAACCTACAGACTGGGAAAAAATTTTTGGCTGCGACAAATCTGATCAGCGTCTTATCTCTAAAATCTACAAGATAATGCAAAACCTCAACAACAAAAAGACAAATAACTCAATTAAAAAATGGGCAAAGGA